CAGCACTGGGGGGGGGGGGGGGGGGGGGGGCGTGAGAAGCAGATCTCTTGAAATCCAGGACAGGCTCCAAAGCTACACAGAGAAGCCCTGTCTGGGGGGGGGGGGGGGTTGCAAGACGAAACACTGCTGTGGGTGTCACCATCTCTGATATTTTTTACAAAGAGACCAAAATATACATAGAAAAGAGAGCATCTTCAACAAATGGTCCTAGTCAAGTTGGTTGGTTACATGAAGAACAATGAAACTAGATTCTTATCTCTCTCTCCCTACACAAAATTGAACTCCAGATAGATCAAGGACCTCAACATAAGACCAATATCCTTAATATATAAGAGTTAAGAGTAGCAAATACACTTCAACTTATAAACAGAGGTAATAACTTTTTGAACAGGACTCTGGTAACATAGACATTAAAATCAGCAATTTATAAATGGAATCTCAAAACTAAAAAGCTTCTATATAGCAAAGGACACAGTCATTCAAGTAAAAAGGCAGTCTACAGAATGAGAAAAAAAAAACTTTATATCTATGTTGGAGGGTTAGTCTTTAGAATACTAAATACTAACTTTAATCCCACCACCCAGGAGGCAGAGATAGGCGGAACTCTGAGTTCAAGGCCAGCCCAGTCGACAGAGTGAGTTCTAGGACAGTCAGAGCTGCTATATAGACAAAACCTGTCTTCAAACCTCCCCCCACCCCCAAAAGAAACCATCAAGAAAACAAACAACCCAAATAAGACTGCAACATGAAACTAACAGTTCTCAAAAGAAGAAATTTTGAATGAGTTAACCCAGACCCAGAAAGACAAACATTGCATGTTCTATCTCATATCTGGATGCCACCTTTAACTCTAGATATGTGATTTAAGTTGAGTACCTATGGAAGTCAGGGAATTAATAAGGGGCCATGGGAGGCGTGACTGAAGTGGAGAGACACAGTGCAGGTGGTATGAAAGGGGAATGACACTTTAAAATTCCAGCACTTGGAAGGCAGGGGCAGGCTGATCTCAAGAGGAATAGTGTATTATAGAGCAGGGAGGATTAAGTGGGGTGGGGCTTAGGAGGGCAGGGTAGAGGACTGAGTATGGGTAGGGACAACTGATACGAAAGACTTTCAGAAATGCCACATGGAAGCCTACTACTGTAGAAGCTTTCTTTAAAATATGTACACATATATAAAGAGTTTACATGGAATTTCCCTGTAGCTGAGGTAAGGGGAGAGGGGAGAACAGTTACTCCCCTTGGCGGAGTTGTTGGTTAGTGGGTCCCATAGACAGGCCATTGCCACCTGGAACTTGATGGTAAGACTCTGTTGCTGAAGGTACTGCATACTTGAGTCCTAGAACGTGGAAAAAGCAAAGCCTTGTAACAGCCTAGAAGCTTCATCCCTACTAGCTAGCTTTTTTAGTTCTGGAAGGTGCTATGCATGTTACTGGGAGTGGGGAGTAATTCACCATCAGTCTTCCTCAGCTGTGAATCCAGTGAGCTAAGATGAGGATTGCCCTGGCAAAATAAGTTCATTGGTGAAATAGTGGCAGGATGTTATGGGGGTAACCAAATCCCCCTTTTTGTTTTGCTTTTTGGTACTTGAGGGGGTAGTTTTTCCAAGATGGGGGTCTCACTGTGTAGCTCTGACTGTCCTGGAACTTACTACTATTATTCTGCTAAGGAGGCATAATTTTAAAGTGACTCATAATGGTATCTCTATCATTATGCCCATATGTTATAACTTCTCTCAACTCACATCAAAGAAACTTCTTTTTGCAGTAGATGGTGATTAGCATAGAGACCCACTACTGGTCAGTGTGCAGGGAATAAGAGACTTCACAGTGTTCAAACCTAAATAGGACATCTGTATCACATGCCCTCCTTCCAAGGCTCAGACATCATCATGGAAGAAGAGTTGGAAAGATTGTAAGAGCTCGAGGCAGTGGATGACTACAGTAAAAAAGTGTTTTCTGGATATAGTAAGGCAGCTGCACACATGTACTCACAGCATTTGTGACAGCATGTACAAGACCTGGGTAAAATAAGGCAGACTACCAGCCTGCCTGAGGAGCTATTGGAAATTGCTAGGAGAGAAAGAGTCATTTTCCTTCAAGGGTTCAGCCCCTAAGAGGTTACTTCCCAGGATTCAATGGGTGATCCTACACCCAAATGTATACTGGCAGTAATAAGTGGACTCAGTGGCTTTAATCAAAGGGTGTGTGTGTTCATGGATTGGTGGGGGGAATGGGGATAGACTTGATACCAAGACACATATGCCTGTATGAGAGTCTCAAACAAAATTATGTGAAGGATGATATTTTGGGACCACTTATGTGTTTGAAAAGAGGGGAAAACCTACCAAAAAAGATCTTTGTAGTCATTCTCAGAATTAAGCTTTCAAATTACCTGCATATGACTTTAGGCTTTCACTCTACTACACAGTTACCTGCTGTGAAAAGTTAGCATCAGGAGCACAATTCTCCAAATCAGTGCTTGAAAGAATGCAATGGGTAATTAATGAGAATTAACCAAATCTGTATTTAACTTCCATGTTTAATAGGTTTTTTATTTACACCAAATCGTTCAGTGTATAATTCCAGTGGATGCCTGAAACTAGTGATAATATATTTTCCTCAGACTTAGTATACCTATAATGAAGTTTTACATAAATGTGTGTGTGTGTGTGTGTGTGTGTGTGTGTGTGTGTGTGTGTGTGTGTGTGTGTAAGTATGTATTAAGCATAACAGGAAATTAGAAATAATAACTCATGGAAAATGAAATATTGTCTTAACAAGGTGGTTTCTTGAACAGAATCAAGACAAAAACTAATACTTTCAGACTACAGTTGATTGAAAATAACTAAAACAGTGAAAAGTGAACCACAGATAAGAAAGTCAGACTACTGTGTTTTATTTAGACTTGTGAGAGATTACCTTTCTGTGATCCAGTTATCACTAGTTTTATATATATAACTGAGACTATACAGATGATTAGAATTATGTAACTTGTTTTCAGAGCAAGCTCCCTCCCCCATCTATGTGTTTATAGATTCATACCACCACTTATACAGCATGTTGGTATATGTATCTGAATTCCTTTTGTAGACTGTTTTTATTTTGGTTTTGGGTTTCGTTTTTAGACGGAGTTGCACTCGGTAGCCTTTAGCTTGCCTAGAACTATGTTAATCAGGCTTTTCTCAAACTTAAAGGAGTATGCCACTGTGCCTGGTGCTGTCCCTGAATTCTTCATTACTAAAATGAAATGACAATCAATACTGAATCCTTTTCCTTCTAAATTACCTCCAAATAGTGCTATTTTACAAAGATTTACTAGGTGATTTACAGTACTTACTTACCTACCCAGACAGAATCTCTCTACATAGCCCTGGATATCCTGGAATTCACTATGCAGACCAGGCTGGCCTTGTAACACATAGTGATCTGCTTGCCTCTGCCTCTGCCTCTAGAGTGCTAGAATTAAAGACATGTGTCACCACATCTGGCCAAAGAATTTATATCTCATGAAAATTCTGAACTGTCACTGTGTGCTGGATAGTTTTATGTCAACATGACACAAGCTGAAGTCATCTTAAGGGAAGGAACCTCAATTAAGAAAATACCTCCATAAGATGGACCTGTAGGCAAGACTGTCAAGCATTTTCTTAGTGATTGATGAGTGTGGGTTCAGCCATTGTGGGTGGGCACTAAGGAGTTTATTAGAAGAGGTTGTTTATTTTTGTCAAATCTGAATTTATTGTAATCAGCAGGTGGGACACATGTAACGGTGGTAAAAAAAAATAATTATAAAATCAGAAATTTGGTGAAGTTGCCTGGTAGGTTGCTTTTAGGGGCTCATAGGTAGATGCCAGCCCAGAGCAGAAGGAATAAGACTACAAAGCCTATGAGGAATGAGTCCACCAAGGAGATCTTTGTAGATAATGTGTACGTACTTGGTGGAGGTGTCCTTGTGACCTGGTAGGAAAATGGCCAGAGGTACCAGGGTCAAGTGGAGGAAGACAGCCTTAGGTTGACTAAGCTGATTAATATATCTACTCATGGCCTTGAACCCCCTTTTCACTCACATAGGATTCTTAGAAACATTTTATTATATTATTATTTCCAAGAACCTACTGACAAAGGCAAAATAGCATGGCAGAAGCTCTGAGGAGAGTCCCTTTCCTAAGAGATTCAAGATCTGAGTGGCAGGGGAGGGAGTTTCTTTTGAGACCTTTGAAAGGAAGAGAAGAAGGGAGTTATTCATAGAGAGATTCTGTAGCCAGACTCGTGATTCCCAGGCTGGATGCAGGGAAGGGCATAAGGATGAAGGTGTAACATTCCCAGGGGTATCAGCAAGTCTTCTATCTGGGGGCTCATAGACAGTGCCCTAGTAGGATGCCTATTAGTATCTGTGAGAGGAACCTGATCAGAGGTTTCATTCTAACATATTACTCCAAGGATAACCTTGAATGAGCGATCCTCCTGCCTCTGCTTCCCAAGTGTTGGGTTTATAGACTTATACAACAGTTCCTGGTTCTCATTTTTCTGTTTTATTTATGTAAAGTTGGCTCCTTGGTTATCCTGCCAAATCAATACTAACCCATAATTCTTTGTTTTAAGTTTTTAGAATAGTACTGTATAATATGATGCTTACCAAACTCTGTGAATTCATAGCTACCCCTGGGTTCAATGACCAGAATAAAGGCTAAATTAATCAATGTGTTAGTTTGCAAGGTTGAGCAAAAGATTTTCTAACCAAGTAGAACACCTGGATACTATTTTAAATGAGGAAAGATGATGTCCGCAGCCTATTTTTTTTCTGTAAGAGTAAAAGCTGCCATATTACTTATTGTTTCTTGAGATTGCCACTTCCTACCTCTGATCCCTACATGGTTCCTGCTGATACTTCAGAAAAAAAAGGCCAGGATATTAAGAAGGCAGCCTGTTTTTTTAAAAAAAAAAGTCAGGATTCTCTTCTCATTAATGGGTTTTTATGGCTATTTTTTTTGGATTTTAGGGAGTGAAGCCAGCCAGTTTTGACAAAGTAGCAATTCCTGAAGTGAAGGAAATTATTGAGGGATGTATCCGTCAAAACAAAGATGAAAGGTAAGTTACTTCTTGCCTGAACAACGTGAGGTATATTTAATACTTGTGTTCCGTTTTTCCATTCATAGCATATAACATTTTTTAAAAATTGGAGTATTTCCATTGAACCTACTCAGATTTGCTCACTGTAACTGTAAAAATGTGTTTTGGTGATGTTTAAGTCCATTAAGTTTAATGTTTAAGCCAGAAACACCCTAAGCATAGTCTCTACATTCAATGAAAACTACTTATAACAATATAATAATTTAGAAAACTCTACAGTAGAGTTCATTTTCCAATGCAACAAATCCATTCCTTAATCATTTTCCCACTGAAGTTTGAAAGTAAAGTAAAATCTTGGCTCTTGAAAATCAACTTAGCTATACAGGTCTTTATTTTTCTACTATTATGCCAGGATTGAAAAAGAGCAAAACATCAAAATTCCTTTGAGTAAAAGGAGATTTCACCCAAGACTTAGGAGGAGATCTGGCTTGGTCATTTGTACAAATAGAACTTTTCTGAGAAGAGTGTCAAGTATCTGTTATTCAGTGTAGCTGATGGGTCACCTGTAGGCTTGCCAAAGATATGATCTGTATTTGAAAAATAATCTGCCTTTACCACCACCCCCCATACCAGCCTAAAAACAAAAATCACACCATCCTAATTAATACAAATATAAACTGTAAATTGAACATAACCTATCTCCTCAAATGTGGGCACAATTGGGCATATCAGCAAAATTCAAGAATTCCGTATCTTGACTCTTCTAGTCTCATGTTCTTTTCAAAACTTTGTTATTTAGAAGAGCTCAACATCATGATCTTTCAGACTGTTCAGCAGATATTTAGTTATGAGTTTCTATTTTGAAATATGCAGGCCTTAGAAGCTCTTTTAAGACTTTTTCAGTGTAAAAAAAGGGATATTTGTTTTGAGTCTTTTTTTTTTTTTTTTTTTTTTTTTTGGTTTTTCGAGACAGGGTTTCTCTGTGTAGCTTTGCGCCTTTTCCTGGAACTCACTTGGTAGCCCAGGCTGGCCTCGAACTCACAGAGATCCGCCTGGCTCTGCCTCCCGAGTGCTGGGATTAAAGGCGTGCGCCACCACCGCCCGGCTTGTTTTGAGTCTTAAAACATTATTCTGTTTCTGGATGGAAAAGTTTTCTTTGATTACTGGTATTTTATGTAAAGAAGATTGATTGTAGGGCTGGACAGATGACTCAGCGGTTGGGAGCACTGGCTCTTCTTCCAAAGGACCCAGGTCCAATTCCCGCACCCACATGACAGCTCACAACTGTCTGTAACTCCAGTTCCCAGTGATCCAACACCCTTGTGCCAATGTACATAAAATAAATATAATATTTTTTTAAAAAGATTGATTGTTATGCAACCAGCCTTGACTTGCCTAATCCACAAGTTGTTGATAAGGAATTGAAGGGATTTATTGTAGTAAATAAAGATTGCTATTGTAGAAAGTACCAAACTAGAAATCAATGAATTTATGTTTTAGTTATGATTATATCATTTATAACTGTAGAACTTTGAGAAAGAATCTTAACCTTCCTCTGCCTTCATTTTATAATGGTCAGGAAATGGGGCTGGAGAGATGGCTCAGAGGTTAAGAGCACTGGCTGGTCTTCCAGAGGTTCTGAGTTCAATTCCCAGCTACCACATGGTGGCTCATAGCCATCTATTAATGAAATCTGGTGCCCTCTTCAGGCCTGCAGGCAGAACAACACTGTATACATTAAAAAAAAATTAAAAAAAAACCCCAATAATCAGGAAATGATATTCCATTGGATAGTTATTGTTTGAGATCCAGACAAGGTGGCCTCAGATATTATTCATTCATTCATTCATTTATTTTTCTGTGTGTCTATGGTATTTTGAAGCTTTGATATTCTATGCATTATTTCCATAATCATATCCTACTAACTAATAAGATTAGATCATTTGGCCGGGTGGCGGTGGCGCATGTCTTTAATCCCAGCACTGGAGAGGCAAAGCCAAGCGGATCTCTGTGAGTTCGAGGCCAACATGGTCTACAGAGCAAGATCCAGGACAGGCACCAAAACTGCACAGAGAAACCCTGTCTCGAAAAACCAAAAACAAAAAGTTTAGATCATTTGGTTTAAAAATTGTCCCTGTCAATATATTGGCACATGACGGTTGGCTGGGGATGTAGAAGTGCTTGTCTAGCATGTGTAAGTTCTTGGATCCCATTGCCAACACACACACACACACACACACACACACACACACACACACACACACACTTACACACACTTACTTACAACTCTATAACATTAACATTCAGATGGAATAATGTTAAAATGAATCACAAATTTTCCTTTGTTTTTCTGTCATAGATTATTTTTTCCTTAATTAAGTAACAGTAAACACACACATACATTTGAAAGTCATTCTCATGCCTGAAAGTGCTTTGTAGTCTGAAGCCAGCCTGAACAACGTAGTGAGATATTGTCTCAGAAAGAGAAAGAAAAATATGTTTTCAAACTAATGACTTTTTTTTTAATTTTCTTTTTCTTTGAAAGATATTCCATCAAAGACCTTTTGAACCATGCCTTTTTCCAGGAGGAAACAGGGGTACGGGTAGAATTAGCAGAAGAAGATGATGGAGAAAAGATAGCTATTAAATTATGGCTCCGTATTGAAGATATTAAGAAATTAAAGGGAAAATACAAAGACAATGAAGCTATTGAGTTTTCTTTTGACTTGGAGAGGGATGTACCAGAAGATGTTGCCCAAGAAATGGTAAATTGGCCCTTAAATGTTGTAGATTTATGTATATTATGTATACTGATACTAATAGAAAGAAAAAAACATTTGATGAGGTTGTGTTGATCCCATATGTTTGTCTTTGGATAGGGGGATTTTCCTATGATTCTTCTTTAAGTCCTTTCTTTGTAGTTTTCGGTATTGTTTTGATATTGTGGTTTGATTTTAGTTTTCTTATTTTTTAATTTGAGGAAAATAATATGTAAGTATAAGTGGATGGATGAAATAGACTGGAATGTATTCTGGAGTCTTTCTGAAAGTCTATAAAGGTGAATAACTTCTCCTTAGTAGCTGACTCTAGTCAAAATGTGTTAGTTATACTGTTTTGTTTGAGGAACATTGAACTCATGGTCATCCTGTCCCCCAAGTGCTAAGATTATAGGCATATCCAGTCTTACCAAGTTTGGAATTATTTCTAAACATTGTTAGCTTTTGATCCATCATTATAAGCACTATAGAGAGATACAGAATTATAAGGTATTTTCACTTTAGTGGTTGGAGAGGTAGCTCAGCAGTTACCCAAATCAAAGCAGTTCATAGCTTCCTGTAACTTCAGCACTGGGGGATTAGATGCCTCTGGCCACTGCATACACGTGCACACACGTATTTAAATAGTAAAAATAAATATTGTGAAAACAGTTTTTACTTTGAAAGAAAGATGTTTTCAAGATCAAAAATCACTAATCACTCTGATGTGTCCTTACTTTAAATATGTATAAAAGGAAACCCTTAACCAAATATAGGTATACCACAGTGCCTAAAATAGCCAGTTATTATACAAAGGGAGTCATTTAATAGCCTTACTTGAATTTATAAAAAACTACTGAATAGTAGAGAAAGGGTCAGATATGAAAGAGCTACTTATTTTTATTGTTAATTTTATGTAATTTTCTATAGAAATGGTAGGATCCACTCTGTTTGTTTACCACAATTGTGGGGAAACATATAATGCAGACAATTTTAGTGTTTGGGTAAGAAGAATCCTAAGGTGTCTGATGATAATGGCACACATCTGTAATTTCAGTACTTGGAAGCTGAGGCAAGAGGATTCCAAGTTTGAGGCCAACTGTACCGCATTGTAAAATACACAAATGCACTCCTCCAAAAAAGACTAGCCTACTTTTCTACAGTGTTGTTTGGTTTGGTTTGAAGTCATTTTCTCTAGAGATCCTGTTTTTCCTAATATACTGTTTTATTCTATAGGTTGAGTCTGGGTATGTCTGTGAAGGTGATCACAAGACCATGGCTAAAGCTATCAAAGACAGGGTGTCATTAATTAAGAGAAAACGAGAACAGCGGCAGTTGGTGCGAGAGGAGCAAGAAAAAAGAAAACAGGAAGAGAACAGTCTCAAACATCAGAACGAACAACAACCAAGTGTTTCCCAGGCAGGAATTCAGCAGCTCTCTTCTGCTAGTACCGGCATACCTACTGTTACCACCACTTCTGCTTCAGTTTCTACACAAGTAGAGCCTGAAGAACCCGAGGCAGATCAACATCAACAGCTACAGTATCAGCAGCCTAGTATATCTGTGTTATGTAAGTGTTGAGGGAAATAAGCAAATGTGTTGGTTATGCTTATAGTCAGAAGGTTGCCTGTGTCCCAGCTGGCCAGCAGTCGGGACAAATCTCTCCCACTCTCATCTCCCAAGTAAACACACAGAGGCTTATATTAATTACCAACTACTTGACCATTAGCTTAGGCTTACTACTGACTAGCTCCTACACTTAAACTCAGCCCATTTCTGTTAATCTATATGTCGCCACGTTTTCTGTGGCTTTACCTGTGTGCCATTACATGCTGCTCCCTGAATGGCGGGTTGGCATCTACTGACTCAGCCTTCCTCTTCCCAGAATTCTCCCTTGTCTGCTTATCCCGCCTGTACTTCCTGCCTGACTACTGACCAATCAGCATTTTATTTATCAACCAATCAGAGCAACACATATTCACAACATACAGAACATCCTACAGCAGATGCTCTCGATTGATTGTTTCCATTCTTACACCCATGATTAATAGAAAGGTGAAACACTGAGAAATTGTGCTTCTGTTACAATGATATTTGAAAACATCTAGTGTCCTGACGTTTTGAGTTTCTAGGTTATCTGTTTTATTCAGTTCCTTCAAATTAAATATGTAAGTAATGAAAGGTGAATAAATTTTGCTATTTATAATAGAAGCTATTAAACTGGTTCAGCTCTTTTAGCAAAACTACATAGCAGACCAAAGGCTGATGAGACCAATGCTCAGTAATTGAATTAAGTGTTTAACATAAAGTAGACACAGGTCTCCACAGAGTAAGAACTGGAAGTTGGGTAAAGTTTAAGATGATGATATCATTCAGTGATAATCAGAGAAAATTTTTGTTTTGTTGTTGTTGCTATTTTGTTTTGTTTTTAGAGACAGGGTTTCTCTTTGTAGCCCTGGTTGTCGTGGAACTATCTCTGTTGACCAGGCTGGCCTCGAACTCAGACATCCACCTTCCTCTGCTTTCCAAGTGCTGGGATTAAAGGCATGTGCCACTACTGCCTAACGATAAATTTTTTTTAAGATTACTACTTTTTTGCACAAGTCTCTCATTTAAATATAGAAATCTACTTTATAATACTGCTATTTATTTTTTAAAATTTACTCCAAATTTGAACAAAGAAGTAACCAATAACATTAATGTAATGAGTCTAAAATATGAACAACCTCTCCCTCTTCCACCTCCGTCCCTCTGATGTTTCATTTATCCTTCAGCTGATGGAACAGTTGACAGTGGTCAGGGATCATCAGTCTTCACAGAATCTCGAGTGAGCAGCCAACAGACAGTTTCCTATGGCTCCCAACATGAACAGGCACATTCTACTGGCACAGCACCGGGGCATACAGCTTCTAGTGTCCAAGCACAGTCTCAGCCTCATGGGGTGTATCCGCCCTCAAGTATGGTGAGTAAATGCATAAGAAAATGTAATATTAAAATGATAGCCAGCAGGTAATCTGCCAAATTCAAATTATTTCTTATAGGTCATCTAAATAGCAATGTGAGTCGAAGGTAGAGAGTATTAATGGTCTAGTCAGTCTTCCTTGTCTGTGGTTTCCATGTGGGTGGATTTGAATAGTAAAATGCTTAGAATTTTTATCTGTACTGAACATACATGTACAGACTTTTCTTGTTATATTCCCTAGCAATATAATAATTTTTAAATGGCTTTTGAATTGAATTGGGTATTATAAGTAATCTAGAGATTATATGCAAATACTGTGATAATCTATATAAAGGATTTGAGCAGCTGCAGATTTTTGTATCTGTTGGGATGGCTTGGAACCAACTCAACGTAGAGACTGAGGATTGAGGAGGAAATCAGTTTATAAGAGTATAACCAGAGTAGTTCAGACTGCGTTAACATACATGTTAAAAAGTGAGAATTAGCTGAACTTCCTATAAAAGCAGCTATGTGGACATTAAGACTAAACTGCACTCTCTTCAGCACCTAGGAATTAAAACTGTTTAAAGTGGCATAAACTAGATACACTAGATTTGTGGGTGGAGCAAAGCTTTATTAATTTTTTTAAAGCTTACTTACTAAAGTAATGAGTGTTTTCTATGAGGTTGTTTTTGTTTTGTTTGTTTTTTTGTATAAAAACCAGGTAAGACCTTCAAACTATTATAGAATGTTGCATGTGAGTATTATAGAGTAAAGGAATCCTTTATTGTATGACCTCTAACTAATTTATTGCTTGTATTTAGTTGATCATCAGTTGCTATGCGTGTTCCTTTCCCAGTATATGTTCATTTGCTTTTTCCTTTATTTGGTATTTATTTTATTACCAGTTTATTTTCAGAGTCAGTTTACAGAAGTAATTTATTGGAATAGTTTATGCTTGTATGTATATGATGTATATGCACGTTGTCCATTTGCAATAGTGAATGTTAAAGTAGATGAGTAATAAAATATCCCCATTTCTTTTGCTGACTCTTTGAGGCCTTCAGAGGAAAAAAAGATAGATCATATACTACAGAAAGGAATTAGATGATAACTATTCACTGAATCACTTGTTTAGTACAATCTTTAAGCAGACTGTTTTTCCTCCCTCCTTCCCAGAAGGCTTTTAATCTGAGCTTTGTAGAATTCTTACCTTCATTAAATGAAATTTTTATTTCAGCAAAATACTTTTCACTTATAAAAGATGTTTGTTTTGGAGTCCATTGATGGATCAGTCCTGCTTTGGACTTAGGTCCCAAGATGAATGGCCACATTAACCCAAAGAAAAGTGTAACTAATATATACTAACCTTTTAACAATCTCTTCTTAACCTAAGTAGGGTAAATGACCTTGGGTGATTTATTTCTGTATACTGACAAATATTAGTTGTCAGCACTAATTTCTCCCTTTGTTTTAACAGTTATTTTCAACTCTTGGCTTCCCTCATCATCGGGGTTATGTCTGTTTTTTAAAAGATAAATAGGATTGCTCATTTAATCAGATATTAAATGCTCAAGCCATTAACATTACCTGTATTTATTTGGTGCTCTAAAATTAGACTATTTCTAGATTTTTGATGACAGTATTCTATAAAGAATTAAAGGTTTTTAGAATAATAAAAACATTTTATACTTATACTCTTCTCATTTCAAGAACTTATTATGCCTAAAAGAAAATTTAAAAACAAGAGAGACAAAGGTAAAAAATTGGAACCAAAATGAACTAAATCATGATGATGCATACTGATGGGCTCCAAGTTTGGCTGAAAACATTCTTTGCAGCCAGTTTTGAAAAATAAGTAGATTATAACCTTGCTGTAGATACCCTCACAGCATTAGGCAAACTCTGTAGTTATGTTAAACCCTTAAGGCACCTGAAACTTTGTAGGTTTAAACTGAATTTCTCATATCCGGGGAGAGTATAAATTCTTTAGCGATTCAAATTGAAGGCATTTCCCCCACTGACTCCTTTATGAAAGTATTTCTGATACCCAGTTGTGAACTTCAAAAAGGTATAATTTTTCTTCTATTCGATAATGACTTTTTAAACTTTGAACAAAAAGTGGCAGGTGAAACAACTTTTTAGACTGCCTTCTACAATAGATAAATTTTTTCCTCAAATTTCTACAGCTCTTGCAAATGATCTACTCTTAAAATCTTCTGAATTTTATACTTTAATAGAATTTATTCTTATTTAATCTTACTAAGTTTTTAGAACTATGATTCATTGTTTACTTGTGGTACCATTAGTCAGTTTTTATAATTCATGCACTTAACAGTTGGTGTTACTTCAAAATATTCAAGATCATAATTGACCTTTTGTTTATACAAAATCTGCACAAAACCACCAGAACAGGGAGAATAGTTATGATATACCAGCTGTGCTTTGTAGAATTGTCTTACCTAAACATTCCTTTTTTTTTTTTTTTAAAGTTTGCAGAATTGGGGAGGGTAGAACATTTCTTTATGTTAACTATGCCCTATTATCACTGTACATTTGGTTATTTTGTTTTCAAAGTACTGTGTTTTTCATGTGTGTTTGTTTTCTGTTTAGCCTCGTCGTGGCCGTAGCATGTCGGTTTGTGTTCCCCATCTTTCTGCTGTTCCCTCTCTGTCCCGCATCTCTCCCAGTGCTCCTTCCACCCCACCACCAGTGCTGTCTGCACCTCTTTGTCCTTCCCTCCTTCGGACTGCCCCTGAGGAAACTTTTGCCGAAAAACTCTCTAAAGCATTGGAGAGTGTCCTGCCTATGCACTCTGCCTCTCAGCGCAAGCATCGACGCTCCAGCCTGCCTTCCCTCATTGTCACTACTGTATGTAACTGTAAACTTCCTGACAAGTGAAAAATTATTACCAATGAATACATCCAGGCATGGAAAATTTGGTTAAAGAGCCAAACTAAACTATTAGCTATTTGTGCTTTTAGGATAACAACTATTCCTATAGAAAACATTTTTGGAATAAGACTTTAAATGGGAATAAAAAGCAAGGAGGCAATGAAAGAGTGCTTATAATATTGTTAGCACATATCAATATAGCTCTTATACTTTCCTATCTCCCATTGATAAGAGGATTTCTATTTTCATATCTTAGCAAAAAGTATGTGTATTACTCATTATTAAACTCGTTATTAGTCGAATCAAAAGTAGATTCTACCAAACATTAACCAAATGTGATCTCTCCTCAATTCAGTCTCAAGGGATACAACTAGTTGAGTCCTTTGTTTTTTAAACCAGTCAATTGAGGAGTAAAAGTTGATTTTAATTCAGTCATTTATGCAAAATGATATGTCAGGAAACTAAAAGGCTGTTCACTCTTTGGGAAGTACTTTTGTTCCCCAAAGATTGCATAAGATTTGGCATAGACTCTAACGAATATATTAGATACAAATATAACATATATAGCTTTCCTTGTCTCCATTAATGTCTTGGAAAGATACAGCCTCTCAAATTACTTTAGTTGCTGCAAGACCTTGCGTGCTGCTTTTCCAAACAGGGAATATTGTTAATATTCTGAACTAGTGACAGCAGAATCTTAAGATTTTTACTTAGGAAAATGATTAACTATACAATGTTATGGCTTTAGGATATAGCTTGAATAATCAATAAAATGTGAGCATTTGATGCCGAATGCTCTTATTGGGTTGAGGAGATGGCTCAGCGACTTAAGTGCTTGCTGCACAAGCATGGAGACCTGAGTGCAGATCCCCAGAACCTCTATAAACCCTGGCGCAGTAGTTCACATCCATAATCCCAGTGTTCCTGTGATAAGAATCTTGAGAATCTCATGGCCCTATCGGCCCGTTGTACACAGTATCGAACAGAGACCTGTCTCAAACAAGTTGAGTAGTGGGGACCAGCACCTGAGGTTGTCCTCTCTGGGTGCAGATCCCCAGAACCTACGTAAGGCCTGGTACAGTAGTTTGCATCCATAATCCCAGTGTTCCTGTGATGAGATGGAAGTGTTAACAGACTTTCTAGAATCTCATGGCCCTGCCAGCCTTTTGTAGACAGACAGCATCAGACATCAGAGACCTATCTCAAACAAGTTGGATAGTGAGGACAAACACCTGAGGTTGTCCTCTGACCCTCCATTCCCATTTTTGTGTTTTAAGGATTGAACCTAGACCCTTTTGTATGCTAGGCAAGTACTCTATTGAGCTACATCCCTAGCCTAAAACCTATATATTTTAAAAAGGAGTTCAGTTCATGGTAGAGAATTACATGTATCGTATTTGGCAAGCTAGGATTCTAAGCTCAGTTTTAAAGTCTGGAAATAAAAATTGCTATTGGATTTGCTATTATTTTTTATTACCTCCATTTCATCTGGATTTGTCAGAATTAGAAAACTCATGGTGTTCAACCCTTATCAATGATCAGAAGAATGATTTTTGCATCTATAACATGTTTTAAACAATAAAACTTCATTGTAATTTTGGATACAGAAGGGAAAAACTAGTCATTTATCCTTTTGTTGTCTGGTTTTTAAGACAGTGTCTCACTATGTAATTGCTCAGTCTAGCCTTGTACTCAAAAATCCCCCTGCCTCAGCTTCTTGAGTGCTAACATATAAGTATGTACCATTAAACTTGACTGACTTGTTTGTCTTATACCATCTACCAAAAATCTCTTCTGATTTATACTATTATAAATTTCTTCTGATCATCTACTGTTAGTTGATGAAAATAACACTGAAGCCTCTAATAGACTAATATAGTAACAGTAGCTTAAATTGAGGTATATTTTTAATTATAAAAAATAGTAAGATTCTTTGTTGTCCTTTAATATCTTAACTTTAGTTCTTTCCATTGACAAAACTTTTAAGAATGAACACATTTATTATAGATAAATACAATAATCACTTAGGAAGTTTAATTCATGCCTTTGCCTTGAGAAAGGAAATTTTGGGAAAGCAGCTGTTTTTTTTTTCAATCAAAGAAGTACCAAAGATTGATTTTATTGGCCCTGGATGTATTTAATGGATTTTTACTATACACGTAATTTCCAAAAGCATTGTTAATATTAAAATTTTGGTGTAGCCGCTTCATAGGGTTACACAGAACTATCCAGCTATGCATGTCTGATGTAATTTCACTTATTGAATGTGTGAATTACTTGTCTTATTCATGTTGATACAGCCTCAGTCCATGGCGCATCCGTGTGGGGGGACCCCAACATACCCAGAATCACAGATATTTTTCCCAACTATTCATGAACGTCCAGTTTCTTTTTCACCACCTCCCACCTGTCCACCGAAAGTAGCCATTTCCCAGCGACGTAAGAGCACCTCCTTCCTGGAAGCCCAAACTCGCCACTTCCAACCCCTGCTGAGGACTGTTGGCCAAAATCTTCTTCCACCTGGTGGCAACCCAACTAACTGGACACCAGAGGCCATAGTTATGTTGGGTACTACAGCCAGTAGAGTAAATAGAGAGCTATGTGAGATGCAGGCCCATCCTGGGTTTGAACCAACCCAGATTTACAGTGACTATAGACCTGGACTAGTACTGGCAGAAGAAGCTCACTATTTTATTCCTCAGGAAACAGTATATCTAGCTGGGGTGCATTACCAGGCCCAGGTGGCAGGACAGTATGAGGGCATTTTATACAACTCACCAGTACTGTCAAGTCCTATGAAACAGATACCTGAACAGAAGCCAGTGCCTGGGGGCCCTGCCTCAAGTTCTGTCTTTGAATTTCCATCTGGACAGGCTTTCCTGGTAGGACACCTTCAGAATTTAAGATTAGATTCTGGACCGAGTCCAGCATCACCCCTCTCTAGTATTTCTGCGCCTAACAGTACAGATGCTACACATTTGAAATTTCACCCTGTCTTTGTTCCTCATTCTGCACCAGCTGTGTTAACTCATAACAGTGAGAACAGAAGCAACTGTGTATTTGAATTTCATGCTCAAACACCAAGTTCCTCTTCAGGAGAAGGAGGTGGGATTTTACCTCAACGTGTTTACCGAAATCAACAGGTTGCAGTGGACTCAAGTCAGGAAGAACTGCCTCCTCAGTCAGTTGGATTACATTGCCATCTGCAGCCTGTGACTGAAGAACAGCGTAATAACCATGCCCCAGAATTGACCATTTCTGTGGTAGAGCCTATGGGACAGAACTGGCCAATAGGAAGCCCAGAATATTCCAGTGATTCCTCTCAATTCACTTCTTCAGATCTCAGTGATTTTCAGTCACCTCCCCCTACAGGGGGAACAGCTGCACCTTTTGGCTCTGACGTCTCATTACCCTTTATTCGCCTGCCTCAGACAGTGTTACAAGAATCCCCACTTTTCTTCTGTTTCCCCCAAGGAACCACAACTCAGCAGGTCTTATCTGCCTCATATTCTTCAGGAGGATCTACACTCCAGCCACAGGTTATAGGAAAACTTTCACAATTCTTTTAAACTACTCTATTTTGCACCAGTGCATTTAAATTTTCTTTCTCATTTCCCTGAATCATGGATTTATGAGAAATGTTGTTTATTTTCTTAATAGAATTTCTTTTGTGGTTATAAATACTTGTACTAAAGAATGAACTATGAAGCAGAAACTACCTGGTTTGCCTGTGATTTTAGTCGTCAGAATTAATTAATTAATCTCTATATGGAAATCTACCTTAGTAATGAAAATGCAATTTACATTGTCTATTTTGATTATTTAGATATAGTAAAATTTGATTATTTAGATATAGTAAAATGATTTAGTATAATTAGATATAGTAAAATGATTTAGTATAATTCCTTCCTCTAATTAAATTTCAAAATTAAAATAAGTATAACCATAAAGCAAAAATGGGAATAGTAAAAACTTTTTGATGTCATATTAAGAAACCTAGAACCTTTCATTATAAGTAGGACTTAAGAAAACACATCTTAGGAGTTTGGCTTAACAAATGAAGGTGACGTTTTGAAATGGTATCAATCAAACCACTGTATTAAGGATTCAAATAGAACATTAATCATTTAAATCAAAGACTTTGTCAAATTTTAGTGACTGTTAGAATCTATTGTGTAATGATTTTACTGGGTTTTGCATGAATTTATAATAACGGGTTGCTAAGGCCAGGAACAGTAGTGTCTCAGGCTTTGTTCTCTTAATACATTTAAAAATTTAGTCACACACATGAGCATACATACTCATACAAATATAAATAGAGACACAGAATTAAAGAAGTCAGTGATGACTATCTCATATACTCTTTAGGTATATCGGTTACTTGGAGTAGTGGTAAGAAGCAGAAGGATCCTGAAATTTAAATAGCGTGGGTGTGCTGTATGCTCACATTATCCTTCAAGCTTTTCAAAGTAAAAAAATTTAAAGGAAAATAGATCATTTAAATTTTAATGGATTGTGATACATCCATGTAAACTACAAAGAACCTCTTATAAACTGAAATGAAACAATAAAAGTGATTTTTTTTCATTTCCTTAACATATATCTGTGTACATAGTATACATGCATTCATTTTCCTAACATATTCTTGCACTCTGTTCTCAGTTAATTTAGACTTCTTGTTAATTGGAATATGCTGTTCAGTTTCTCAGACCCAACATGATTGACATTCTCTGGGTTGGTTAATCCTTTCTTCTGAATGGGACTCGTATAGTCATAGAATTTTTAACAGCATCTCTAGAAGTAGCAGCCATTTCCCCTAGTTTTGACAATTAAAATGACTTCAGATGTTTCCATATGTTACCTGGGACAACCATTACATACTTCTATAGGAGTTGGTTTTTAACAGACCTTTGACATTTGTTTATCAGAGTTAATATGACTATAAGAAATAGCAAAAGATAACCAAATTAGCATTTTTAATGTGGTTTTTCTTTAATTATCCAGTTAAAATTTTTTTATGTTGATATCTTAACACATTTATCCTGTTACAGTTTTATTATTGAATCTATTCAAGCCAGCTAAAACTTTAACTAGCATATAATGGTAGGTTTTTAACATTACTGTATTTGTATTTTTGTTTGTTTGTTTGTTTGTTTTTACTTGAGAAGTGATCAGAAATGTTCTGTGATCTTTTTTCTAAACTTACCTTACCAAAAAACCCAAGAGGTCTGTCTTGTACTACACTACCAACCTGATGATTCATTTCAATCAAACAGTCTTCTCAGGATCTGAAGTATTTATACAAAAGTCTAACCTTAATGTGCATAAACCTTCTCTAATTTGTATTTGTTTTTTGTTTTTTTTCTTTAGGCACAGGGGCAGAGCCAGGGCCAGCCGTCAAGTAACTTAGCAGGGGTTCTACCTTCACAACCTGTCCAACATCCTCAGCAGGTAAGAATGTTCCCTTGCTACGTTATATTTTAGCAATGGCCAGAAGCACTGCTTACATTTTTATGAGCTAGATTGATGATATAAATGGCTTGCTAAGATTTTGGAGAGTAATAAAGTGGCATAAGATTTCTGGTATTTAGTAGTATTTTAGGAAATCTTTCACTTTGGTTAGTGTACTTGTGAACAATTTACTAGATATGTGTTGAAATTTAGAAGAATTGTTACATAATTTATCTCCTTCTTAAATGATTTTATTCATGAGGTGTAAACCATACAAAGAAAATTGTTCCTACTTAGGTTTTATGATTTGTCCACAGATGAGCATTTTGTCAACTTGAATCCCACATTTGGGAGGCAGAGGCCAGTGGATCTCTGAGTTCAAGGCTAATCTGGTCTAGAGAGCAAATTCCTTGACAGCCAGGGCTACAGAGAAACCTTGTCTCAAAAAAAGAGCATTTTGTCATTACAAACTCCCATGGTGCGTGCCTCAGATAGTGAACCAGTTCTTGTTTGTTTTTTGGTTCTAATTTTTTGACCTGGGAGGTTTTGTCCCAAACGATCCAAGGAATTCAGGACATGAGTTTAAAAAGAACCATACATTAATAAAGTAGCTAACCTTAAATTGCAAATAATTCATCAATGGTTTTACCTAGCAGACTTTTATTTGCAAGGAAATCATTCTTTTTGAACAATTTATTAATGAGTTGTTTCAAGCAACATTTTCTGCGTAATATTATAAACTATTATAAACTATTTTATTAATAGTTCTCCAACTATAGTTTTTAACCACTATATTGTAAAGTGACTTCTGCTTCTAATTTTTGAAACGAAGGTCTCATTCTTATTATAAATGGCCTCTTTTAATACAGTAGGTGGTCATATGATCACTTCATATCAGTGAAGGTTAAGTTACGGGTTGGTGAGATAGCTCAGCAGGTAAAGTGCTCATTGTGCAATCCTGAACACCTGAGTTCAATCCCTGGGACCCACAAAGAGGTGGAGGGAGAAAACTAATGCCACAGAGTTGTCTTCTAGCTTCTGCGTACACACTGTAATCCCTGCTCCAGTCTCCCGCAACACAGAGAGAGAGAGAGAGAGAGAGAGAGAGAGAGAGAGAGAGAGAGAGAGATTGAGAGAGAGAGATTCAATGAGACTGAGAGGTGCCTTAACAGTTAAGAACAGTTGTTGCTTTTGTAGAAGACTGGAGTTTGATTTCCAGCATTCATACGATGGGACCCACAGCTGACTGCCTGGAATTTAAGTTCTGGAGGAGCCAACCCTTCTGTCCTCCACAGGCGCCTACAATCAATCACATGTACATACCTTAACACAGATAATTTAAAATAAAAATTAGAGGCCTGCAGTGGTGGCTCTTCAGTTAAGATCCCCAGATGCTCTCACAGACAACCCAGGTTTGGCTCTCAACACACACATGGTGGCTTAAAACCATCCATCACTGGAGTTCCAGGGGATTTGATACCCAGTTCCAACCTCTGGGCACCAGGTATGCATATAGTACACAGACAAAACAATCATACCCATAAAACAGTAAATAAATATTATGTCAAAAAATTACTTTGGAGCCTGGAGGTGGTGGTGCACGCCTTTAATCCCAGCACTCGGGAGGCAGAGCCAGGTGGATCTCTGTGAGTTCGAAGCCAGCCTGGTCTACAGAGCGAGATCCAGGACAGGCACCAAAACTATACGGAGAAACCCTGTTTCGAAAAACAAAACAGACAAAATCGCTTTAGAGTATTTTATATAGAAGAAATTAATTACTTCTGTAATACCCACATTTACTCAGTAATCAACATCTTATCTTAAAAATTTTTTGATCAAAAAAATAAAAAAAATCTTAAAAAGGCCAGGCATAGCGGTGCATACTTTAAATTCCAGCACTTAGGAGGCAGAAGGAGTATCTCTGAGTTTGTAGACTATCCTGGTCTACAAAGCAAGTTCCAGGACAGCCAGGGCTGTTACATAGAAAAACCCACTCTCAAAAAAAGAAAACAAACAAACAAAAATTTGACCAGGGATTATATGTTTTGTATTACTAACATTATTTCCAAACAAATGCTTGGATTTATGTATAATTATGTTTAAAATCAAGAAGTTAAATTTGTTTGCCAACATCCATAATTCTAACAAACCCTAGTGAGAATCAAATTACAAGTTACATAAAGTTGGTTAATGGCAGAAGCACTGTGATGAGTGATCACTTTCAGGTTTTTTGAGTCAGCTCTCATGATATAGCTCAAGCTAGTCTTGAAGTCTCTCTCTCAGTCCTCTTGCATCTGCCTCCCTAGTGCAAGAATTACAAGCATGAGCTACACACCTGACTCACACTGACATCTTAATTTGTTTATCTTTTAACATAGGGCAACACCCATAAAAGGGAAACATTTAAGTATGTGCTGTGCTTTTCTTTTTCTGAAGAAATGTGTCACCTGTGTTAAATACATATGTATGTTTACATGTATACATACCTATAAATATTACCAAATGAAGGAGAAAGTAAAATAAACCATCAAGTTCAACACTCAAAGTATGTGGGGATAAAATAGTATGATACTATAAATGTTAGATTGAAGTAATTAGTAATATGCCTGTGATTATGTACGCTTGGAATGCCAGCATTTTGGGAGCTTAAAGCGAAATCATGAGTTCCAGGCCAGCCTGGACTACCTAATGAGTTGTTCTACTTTCAGAAAAGCAAAAGTAGCTCATAAGGCCCCACCTCTCTCTTAGATAACAGCAGTGTAACTATTTAGGAACAAGTTCATTATTACAGAAATCTTGGTTTCTAGTAGCTAATGGTTGCTGGGGGATAATTTTTTTCCGTGGTGTAGCCACTGAAAAGTATCCCATGTTCCAGTAAATAACCTCCTGTGCTAATGCAACACTAATTAAACTCATTGAGTCTCACACACACACACACACACACACACACAACCTTGAAAGTGCAAGGGAGATTTCTTGGGAAATGGGAAGGTTTCTACAGAGAAGGAAGGAAGAGAAAGGGTTATATACAGCATTGAAAATGACTGAAATTCACTCTGTGTGTGTTTGAAACTGTCAGAGAACAAGTACAAATAAATTTGAACAGTCTAAAAAAAAAATTTAAATTGAAAAAGTGTTAAATAGTTGATTCCAGTGGTGGAGAAAATGCAAATAAATGGAACGTTAAAATTATTTTTTCTTTTGTTTCCATTTTAGATTATTACAGCATATTTTAAATTGAGTAGAATCAAAATTATGAAGCCAGTTTGTATAAGAGGTATATTTTACTTTTATAGAGTCTCTTAGCTATTAAAGAAGCTAAAAATTGGGGGCTGGAGAGATGGCTCAGAGGTTAAGAGCACTGACTGCTCTTCCAGAGGTCCTAAGTTCAATTCCCAGCAACCACATGGTGGCTCACAACCATCTGTAATGATATCTGGTGCCTTCTTCTGGCCTGCAGTCATACATGCTGTATACATAATAAATAAATAAATCTTAAAAAAAAAAAAAAAAGCTAAAATTTACTGAAATTCAAGCTTTCTAAATCAGTGACTTTTTTTGTTTGTTTGTTTAGTTGTTATGTGGTATGATATTATGATAAATGAGTTATGTGGTAGATACTTAAAAAGCTATACCTACCTGTTCCTGGGTTCTTTGTGAATGGATGAATGTAAAGATGAAAAGGACCTTTCTCTACCATGTTGATAGCAGTTTTATTATAGTAAGGAAAGAAGTATACCTTATCTGAAATTTAGTTTATCTTGTGGCTGTTTGGAACATAGCAAATGAGAATTTTCCCCGTGATTTGTTGTTGTTTTCTTATGTTTTTATCAAGAGTTATAATGGAAAGACTAGAGATATGACTCAGCAGTTGAAAAAGCTTACTGCTCTTCTGAGTTCCCATTCTAGGCTTACAACTGCCTATAATTCCAGCTCTAAGAGCCACCCTTGTCTTACCACTGTGGTTACCTGTACACACATGTATATACTGGTACATGCACAGAAATTGTACAAAATAAAGCTTTAAAATGGTATGATTTATATTAATGTGGCACCTCCCAATATTTATGGCTATAAAGAAGGTTGTGGGGTAAACATGACTTTCATAAAAGCATGTACAAAGCCTTCAGATACTCATCTTCTGTTCAGCCTGAGGATCATGTTTATTCATCATCATGCAGCTATGTCCTACCAGTTAACAAAAGCTATTTGAACTGGTTTCCATAAAGCAAGTCTAGGCAAAGCATGATTCTCATCATCACTGTTTGGCTGATCTATTCATTATTAGTCATTGTGATTATGCAGAAACAGATGGCATATACTTTTGGCATACCAAATGTACCATTTCTCAGAAACAGTACTCTAAGGTAACTGTTGACATACCTGTCAGTTGTCTTAAACAAAGAATAAGTTCATAAGAAAAAGAACCCATTTTTTATACCTCTTTACTCCTTCTCAGCACTTCCAAATAAACTGTTTTCTGACAGTCAGCTAAGATGGACTAATTCGATTGGCTCCGAGAGAACCTAAATAATTGTAAGCATAAAATGTTTATGTAAATGTAGACCTTATTATTTCCATTTTACTGATGGGAAAGCTAAATCTGAGAAGTTTGGGAAACTTTCTCAAACATATGGTTTCTAAGAGGTAAGAGCACTTTAAATCCAAATAGTCTTTCTCCACAGCTCACCATTTCACTGCTACCCTATTGTGTCTCTGGCAGAAAAATAGACCTCTTTCCTGATTGGAAGAGGTATATCAAGAAGGCTTTATGGAAGAGATGATATGAAAAGTAGGAATAAAGAATATTCCAGGCCAAGGGTGGAGGGATTGTAATTTGGAACATGTGAAAGGAAGAAAGTTAGAAAATTATGGGACAGAAACAAGCCTTCAGTTTGGTTTAATGTGGATCTTTTCTATTTTAAAAAATATTTCCATTTGTCTGTGTGAGTGTGCATGCGTGTTTGTGTGTGCATGTATGCACATGCACCCTTGATTTA